TTTTTCCTTTTTTTCCTTTTTTTTTGTACATAAGATACAGGACGTTTGGGGTCCAAACTTTTTTTTTTTTTCAGCAAGTGCCCTTGCTTTGAACTGGCGTAAGTTGTCACATCAGCATTCGTTTCTGTATTGTTTTCTTTGTAGTCCAGAAAAAGTACCAGTTCAGGGACACAAAGGTGTTTTAATTTCTGGACCGTTCTATATGATTCCCAAGGTGTCTGAGAACTGATCAACCCTATATTGCCGGAAAGACGTAAAATTTGTCAGAATTGGCATAATCCATTATAGTGACTTTTAGCTTATAAAATTAACAGATATTATGATTTAATTTTAGTTATGTGCTTTGATAACAGAAAATGATTAATTAGCATTTAATGTAGTTAACATATTGTGGTAAAAGCACCATTAGATTTTTTTTTTAATTTTCCTTCAGTTTTAAAGGGATACAAGTTTAACAATAAAAAACATAAAAAGCAAAAATAGCTCCCCTTTTTCTTGCAAGGCTGTTTTTTACCCCAATACTTTAGAGTCCTGGGGTGGAAGGACTTGGAAAACAAAAATAGAATTTTCAACAATCTCTATCTTACAAAGATATTTAGCTATCCAATGAAATTGCACTTTACTCAATTCAAAATTCGATTGTTTTGATTCCTGTCAGTTTCTGTCAAAACAGACCAACTTCCCCATTTCTGCATGAATTTTTGTGTAATTGTTGAAAATTGTTGAAAAAATGTTATGTAAGTGCAGCATTTCAAACTTTTTTCTTTTTTTCTTTTTTTCTTTTTTTAGTGAATAGTAGTAGTTTGTTTTAAATCACTCTGCAACTTGAGTGGAAAAAACCTGTTGACAATGCTCATGTTTTTCATGTTATGTATCTAACTGTATCTGACTGTAAAAAAAAAAAACAACAAAACAAAAAACTGCATTTTTTCCCGATCTGTTACAGAAAAACATGCCCTATGTCTGTCCTGTACGTTTATATATTGCAGAATTCAGCTACTACAAAAGTTACAGTTTAAGTGTGTTTCATGATTTCTCAAGAAGTCTCACACCTGCATGGGAAAAAAAAAATCAATGAAAATGCTGTAAAACAGTTAGGCTCCATATGGAAAGTGTGTTACAACAGCGAGTCAGTAAGCAGCAGCAGAGGCTAGTTCTACCCAGTGTCACCTAATACTTACACTACCAATGAAACACTTCAAAAATTACAAAGCCCAACCATTTCCAGCACCATATGAGAAATCACAACTGTCCCGAAGGTGTCTAAACAAAAATCTCAAAAAAGTTATGGCCTTTGCCATTGACCATAACATTTGCCATTTCCATGTACTAGTTGTTTGCTGTCGATATCTGTTCATCTCTCCTTCCACTGACGTGAAGTAACTGCACTGTGTTGCTGCTGCTTCCATGTTACAGAGTTGGGAAGGAGTCAGGTGGTCTGTCCGGTGGGAGACGGGAAGCTGTGACTTTTATCCCAGGTACCAGGACTGCAAAACAGAGAGAAAACCTTTCAGCTGATTGTAATTATAGATGTTTTGGAAGGAGCTGCAAATAGTACTGCAATCCTCGAATTCGAAACAGAGGGAAAGAGTTTGAGGACTTGACACACTGAGCTATTTGCACAGATTCGTTACCACTCATTTACACTAGTGTAAGTCAAGAGTAGCTACGCTCAAGTCAATGTAACGTTATTTTCACTGGGGTAAATGGGTATAAGTGAGATCAGAACAGGGCTGATGGATTCACACCAGTGTAAAACAGATACGAGTAAGATCAGTATCAGATCCTGGGATTCTAAACTGAATGTGGATTTGAATTTGACTATGATGTACTGCTCTCTAGGGAATTAAAATAACAAGCAGTAACTATAGTTTAAGGTAAAAGAGTATAATGAGAAAGGCTCAGGTATGAGAGACTTGTTGCTGAAACTCATTTTATATAAGCTCCTGTCATATCATATTAGGTGCATAGTTGAACACATATATACTGATGACAAGTTTTACCAACTATTTCCTCCATTTCTTTTCAGCATGTCATGTGATTTATAGTACATCCACCACAATATTATGTATTAATATTTATAGAGGCCCCTAAGGCAAGATCCATGCTGGACTTCAAGATTATATGTTCTTGCCATGGTGGTAGGCTCTACAGAAGCTGATAAAATAAAAAATATGGTATGAGAAATGTTGTCAGGAATCCAGTTCCCAATTCACTTCATTAGCTAACTCTTCCTTCATTCCCCTTTCTGAGCACAGACATACCATCCCCATATCTATTTCAACTATTGCATGCAAATTTTGTGTTCGTACTCAAACAGGCTGTAATTAAATGAAAGAGTTTCCATATGCAAAGCTTATAAACAGAAAAAAATTCTTCCAGAGTTTATGTAGCCACTGCTTATTATTTTATTTTTAACAGCAGTGCCAAATCCTGCTCTCCTTATTGATTAAACAGTCCCATTGATTTTGATAGGGTTACGCGCACAGATAAGGCAAGCAAGAATTGGCCCCCGGATGGTATCATAACGATCACAATTTTCAAGGTGTTCTGAACTTTACGTGTATGTTTTACAATCATAATACAAATGTTATAGCTTTCAGAATGGTCTGAATGGACAAGGATGAGCTTTGTGAAAGTGCATAGCAGGGAGCAAAAGGGTTAAAATTCAGACTTGGTCATTCAAATAGGTAAAAATCCTTTTACTGCAGAGGTCCAGTTGGCTACCATCCTGGTTTGCCTGATCACCTGGATAAACAGCTAAATGATAGTTATATACATTGGGGTAAGATTTACTGGCCTCACAAAGCAGACTTTTATTTAAAAAGCAGATTTTTTAAAAATACACTTCCTGTGTTTTCAGACGTGCGTTATTGTTAACCGCTTGCCTTAAAGAACTCAGGAAGGCAAATCGCTCTGGCAAATACACATCAACACCTTCCACTAATTCAAAAAAGTAGTAATTGTGCAATATGTCCAGACCTCTGCTAAACTGGCATCATGATTAGACCTTCCTAGTCTTTGGACATCTCATTTTTAATAGATTGGATTTGGATTATTGGGATGCTAAAGTGGTCTGGAGTTTTAATTACTGAAGTGTAAGGAAACCAGTTTGAAACTCCTAATCTTCCTTCAATGCAGTTAAATGCAGTATTTCTTTTAATGATTCTTAGTGCACATTTTGGACAGCAGGGGGTGCACTTTTCTATACCACATTTCTCCCTGCTACTCACTGCATTACTAAAATATTCTGCAGTGCTTCTGCACTCCTCTTAAAAAGCAAAAAGTTTCTTCACACATCTTACTATTCAGTGTGTGCCTTGCAGACAAGGTTACCCCAGAGCAGCTCTGTAATCCTTCACTGAAATAGGCTTTATTGATTGCTCTGGTCTATTGTTCCCTTTTCAAGTCCCCCAAGTTCAAGTTCATCCTGGTGTTACATCATGTCTGGTTGCTAGGAGCAACCAGACAGACCCAGACGTGACTATCATTAGCAAGAAACACTCTGCTCTCCTCCCACCAACCTTCCAGTGGCTCTGACGTAGCAGGCCCACTGCAAACACATTGAAGTATTTATTCTGCCTAATTTATGACCTACACAGCAAGAGAGACCCCCACTCCAAAAACTAACACTGTTGTATATTTAATTAATCTGTCTTTCTCTGGCACTTGGGAAAGTTAGACAAAGGTCTAATTATTGTGTTTCACTCCCCACACTTTTCTTTTGGGGCTGAATATTTGCATGGGAAAAGGAACTACAAGACTCAGTTTGGCTTCCCTCCCCCCCCCCAAAACACCTTTTTTTTTCTCCACTGCCCTATTGACATTTCATGAAATACTTTAGCTGCTTAAGGGAATTAGAAAAAAAAATCTGATGTGAATGTAACTCCTTCGGAGTTGGTATTCTGTAACACAAATCAACTCATGACATGTTTAAATTTAAATGCTAACCACACACTCTGAGAGTTACTTTAAAGGTTAGTTTTTAATCAATAGAAGTTGCTGACTCTGGAGTTTTTAGCTGCGCAGTGCAGCTCTTGTGCCTTTGTCTAGCGTTAGGCTTTCAAACTTTTTTTTTCTTGAGATGATTTTACCAATGATTTGCAGACACAGAGTGCTATTGTGCTCCTGACTAGCAACATGTCAATAAAGGAGTAGAGTTACCATGCACTGGGGTGTCAATATGACTCCTGCAGACACAGTTCAATCTTAATACCAACGAAAAACTTAATTAACCCTTTCAGAATTGAACTGAAACATATTTTTGTAAACTTGTGTCCAGTGACGTCGTTATCCAAATGACCTTCGCATAAAAGCTGATTTTAAGAGTAAGAAATTCAAATGACAAACATCTGCATGGCACTGGGTAGTTTTGCAACCATTCTTTGATGAAATATTTTATATGCTGAGACAGCAGAATAGCAAGATTGAAACAGTGCATTTTCTCATCAGATCCCGCATTGCTCTCAAGATACCATTTTGATTTATATTTTACAGCAGAAATACACATTCCTAATTATCCTGTTTTTCCTAGACAATTTTTTAATATTAAGAACCCATGTCCCCCAGACCTTACATATGAGTTTAAATCTTCTTGGATTATATTTGAAGAGTTTGATTATCCTTTTGACTCACCTAGGAAACTTCCACTGCAAAGGAGGAGCAGACCTCAACATATAAAATGAAAAATGTGTATGAAGCACATAACAGAATATGCAACTCTGAGATCTGTGATTTGCAGAGTTCTTTGAATGATTAAATGGCATAGTGAAACAAGCAAACCCAAATCTATACATATGGTATTTTTTGCTATTGCTCCCCAACATAATTTAAGCTTGACTATGCTTTCTGGCTACCACCTACATTTTATCCTTCTTTCATGTCCTGCAATCTAACCTACTGCATCCAGCTGGGGAACAAAAGTATTTCTTTTCTTAATTTTACATCTCCATTTAAATTGCATGCAATATCACAACCCAATGTGCATTTTACCAGAAAAGCAAACGTTTAGCTTTGACCCATATTTTTTTTTAAACCGTACTGCAGTGGGGAGTTTAGAGTTAAATGAATCCACTGGACCAAAAGGTCCTAGCTAAGTAAAATTACTGCTATATAGTCAACAGTATTACTACAGTTCTGTATTGACCTACAGAGTATCTCACTGTCCTATTCTAGTGTTCAAGGTGAAACATCAAAAAGAATTCTGCAGTCCAGTACAAGATCTTAGCTTTCCTTTCTCCAGTCAAATGAAGAAGTAATCTCATCAGGTTGAAAAGTGCTGACTAAGGATTTAATAAAGTGCCTGCAGATGTGTGTCATCTCTAAGGTATTCAACTCATGTAATGCAAAACAGTTCCACACCGAATGTGCGTATAAAATTCCATTTAACCATTGCGGAGCTCTATTTTACTGTTCTCGGAGGAGTATTATCACACTTTCCCCCCCTAATTTACAGCACCATGAAAGTTGAAGCTTTACACTGCCAGTATCTTAGAATCCTCACACTAGTAAGGTTTTATGAACCATAAACAATATCTACTTGACTGAATCCTAAACAGGAAAACTGAAATGGCAATTATGTTTCTTTCATAGTGCCAGTCTATTTGTTTTTTTATGCTATTCTGAAGATAGCACAGGCACAGACACAAAACCTTAAGCAACGTTTGGCACTTGTGTCCTTTGTACTGGAAAGAACAACTAGGAAACACACACTGGAAACTGGCACATTTACAAGAGAAAAGCAGACAGCCCTTCACTGATTTCACTAACACTTTTGCCTGGGTCAGAAATACAGAATCAGGCCCAAAGTTTATTAAAATCTCCCCAAAACAGCCTTCCTGTGTGATTTATTTTATCTTGGCCCTGAAACATAATCATAAGCATTTTCTGCGTGTTTTAAAACAAAACAAAACAAACAAAAACTTGTTAGAATTACTTCTACCTGAACATTTCCTGAAATAACAATGAGGCCGTTCACTTAAAGCAAAAAGTGGAGGTTGTAAAGCAGCAGTATCTGTTTTTCAAATTAAAAAGTTAAACAAAAGTCCTTGAGGGCAAAGTTTAACACTGCGGAAGGAGGTGGTTAATGTGGAATCCAGAACTGGGTGTGACAGTTGGCTTACTTCTCTAGGCTATGTAGGTTATTTGAGGACATTCACACATTTAAATCTCTCACTAACTCCACACACAGGAGATTTTTCTTCGCATAATCCATTTACGTCTAAGGCTTTGTCCACACTAGACCCATTTTTAAAAATTCCCACTGGTGCTGCTCCACTGGTGGTAGCGACCGTTGAGTGTTGGTGTAAGCGAGCATCAATATTTTAACTAACGTGATGTCATTCCTGCTGTTGCTACCACTGGAAGAGCTCTGCTGGTGGGAATGTGTGAGGGGAAAAAAGTCTAGCCCTGATATAGCCTAAATGAAAACAACAGCCATATAACTTGTCCCCCAAATGGAGAAGCTGTTTGGGTAGCAGTACTGAAT